GAGGAACATGGTCCAACTGCTTTCCCAAAGCTCTGTTCTCCTTGAAGGAAACATACATGGGACAGTAAGATCACTGGTGTTTAATGGAACAACTCTAGAATCTTCTTTAGGTAACTACAGATGGCCAAACAACAGAATGAAACAGGAATTTTACTCACTTTGCTTTGTCAGGCTCTGCAGACATTTTTTCACAAGTCCTGGAAAGAAATTAAAGATGGACTTTAAGTTAGTCTCAGCACACTTGAAGAACATCTGGAAAGGGATTTATACAGACTGCATGCACTAGAGGTGCACCAAAATGGCAAAAAAATTAAATAAATAAATACAATTATTATTATTATTATTATTAACAACAACAGCATTAATAATAACTATTATTATTATTAATAATATATTTAAATAATAATACTTAATAGCTAAAAAATACAAATTTGAAAATATTACTAACTAAAATATTTATCAGTTATTATTAATAATAAAAGCATAATAGAGTAAGCGGAATAAAAATGTTTAATATTCAATAAGATAATCTTTGACATGGAAGAAATTAAACTGAAGGCTGAATAAATAAATGCACTTAAAAAATTAACAACAATAATAATACATAAATAAAAACATTTATTTATTCAACAACTGCTAATTTATAACAAAAACTCAATATACCTAGATAATCAATTTAAATTTTAGTGCATCATTAGCACATACTGTACATTATAACCACACAACCAAAAAAACCCAACATAAATGCACTGAAAGCCACATATAATGTCAAACAAGAGTTCATCGACTGTTCTAGACACATAAGCGTGAAAACTTTATTTTTGATGCAGTGAGGAGGCTGCCACAAATAACCACAGAGCCTGCTGGCACAATGCACTCCAAACACAAAAACAAAGCACTACTCTGCAGCTTGACCACAGACTTCAATCAGACCACATAACTAGACTTTCTGTTCACGCCGTTTTTCAGTAACTGCAGAAGAACAGACTGGACTGGGGCCAACTGGCTCTTAAACGCAAATAACCCACAAAGCAGATCTATCTTATACTGAGACAGCTGCTGCCACCTTCAGGTTTACAAATGCCATGTAGAAACATTTCAAGGTTTTAACCATTCAAATAGACTAAGAAATTAATCATCAAGTTATAATGCAGATCATGCAATACAGAAGCTTAAGCAATTATTGTAGGCAAAATAGAAAACCGTTTTAACACAGTAATACACAACAGGTTTCATCACCCAAGGAGTGAGGTGAGATGAGTCAGGCATTCTTTAAATGAGATGCAATGCACGCATTATCTAAATCAAGTGACTTGCTGAGGGAAGGGCGAGCACACCCTGAGACATGCCCAAATATCACCCGATTAGTAACTGTTTAGTCCTTTACTGTAATGAGCCAGTAAACCTAGGCTGTAACCATGTCTTGAACACTGGGGGGGACCAAGTGTTTTTATAAAGCATAAAGAAATAGAATAGTGACGGAAATTCGAGGTCTAATACTAGTTGGTAGGTAGCCTAATAATTTTGAGCTATTTGCAAATAATATTTTAAACACATGCGCTTTTATTTATATGCCTAATATGTCAAAAACGCAAAGCGTTTCATGTCTCGACATTGCAATGCATGCTTATAATAAACAGAACATTATCATTATCATGGACGCAAACAATTATTGTTATACTTCTCATTTGTGGTGTTAATGGGCCTTAAGCCATTGTATTTAAATGTTTGAACACATACAAAATTTGCTATAGTCAACATGTCCTCACTATAGTCAATTAAATCCACAATTCAAAGACAGTGAAAAAATATCTGAAATGAAATAAAGAATTATTTTACTCAATATACATTATCATTCAAAGGTTTGGGGTGAGTAAGTTTTTTGAAAGAAAATGAATACTTTTTTCAGCAAAGATTAACATGAAATTGATCAAAGGTTCTGTTCTTTTGCACGTATTTATCAAAGAATCCTGAAAAAAATGTATCATGGTTTCAAAAATATTAAGCAGCACAACTGATAATAAGAAATGTTTCTTGAGCACCAAATCAGCATATTAGAACCATTTCTGAATGATCATGTGACACTGATAATTCAGCTTTGCCAAAGAAAAAAATATTACATTTTAAAGTATATTAAAACTGAAAACAGTTATTTTAAAACCTACAAATATTTCAAAATATTACTGTTTATTTTTTATTTATTGACAGTTGTCAGTAGATCTTGAATGCTGATTAAATCAACAAAATGCCAAAACATTGCTAAATTAATCCTATTTTCATTATAAAACATCACTACTACAAATTTAAAGCAAAACTGTACAACAACACTTACTTCACAAATCTTTGGTAGAGAGCCAGTGTCACATCGTATTTGTTCTCCAGTCGTTTCAAAGCAGTGTTCACTTTAGGGCTTATTGTGTCCACGTTTACATCCATCTTCCTCACAAGACTGATGAACTGCTTCACACTGCAGAGGAAGAGCAACTTAATTAAAGTGTAGTATATGCATTATTAACACCTTAAAGATATAACCACACTCCGACAGCTCAAACTGCTCACCCCAAGCGAGAAAACCAGGATTTCTCTATGATATTTATTAATTTGCCACACATACCTTAGTCCAACTACTTTCAGGAACTGTGTGAAGGTGAGGCTGAGGCCATCAAGCTCCATGCCTGCAATGAACAGACAAGCTCCCCACTGCTGTCTGTTTGAATATGGCATCTAGCATGGAGGACACACGTTTGTGTTATCACATATTCATAAATGAACACATTAGATTGGTAGTGCAGACATAAGAGGAAGGCGTACATTTGCCTTGTCCATCGACCTGATCTCCCTCTCCCAAATTCTCCACGCATGATCACAGATGGGATTGGTGGCCTGAAGCTCCTCACTGAGAGACACGAACTCAGGCTCCTTGTCCTTGTGTCTGGTAAAACAACACAGTTGACAGACATGAGTAAACACATTGTGAGGTGACTGACACTATTGTGGGGTGGTCACTGCTGGTCACGCAACATTGCTTATACACATAACAAACATTTGTCAGCTGTTTGGGAACTACGTGAGCAGTATATAAGATCATTTTTACTATTTAGGCTATATATTTTAATAAGATACAGGTCAGAACAAGTATGTTGTTTCATTTTTACAAAAATATATAGGCTATCTATTACACTGAATGATAATGGAACATATTTTGACATTTTATTTTCACAAAGGATATCTGAAACATTAAAGTAGACACTTTACTTGCATTTAATATGTATATAAAATCACTTCTGTAAATTTTATTTGATGCAGGCACCAAAATGGAATGTATATAATAGATGTACACATAAATGGTGAATGAAATATTTTACACAATATTTACTTGACTATTCTATTAAAAGTGAAAACAGAAACTGTGGCCAAATATAGGCCAATAAACAGATTTATTACTAGCTACAGTATACTTTTTTTGTAGTACATACAGCTTAACGGTGGTTAATGTAATAATACTATAGTAAGCACAGTTAAATGCTGGATGCGTAAAGTAATTAAAAACGATGAAAAACTATTTGCTATCAAAAATAGAAGCATGAACACGTTTAGAAACTGTAATTTATAACTGTTTATAACTCTTATTCATTCATACAGTTGGTCGCTGGCTTCTCCCACCATCATCAATAACTAAAGACTGTCAGTACTACTCATTCATTACAGTGTGTTGTGTCGTTGAGATTTATTTTCGAGGCAGTGGCGCGGTGTAAGCTCACCGTTCGGGGCTCAGCACTGCGTTCTCGCCGCTGTCCGGCGATCCGCTCTTCATGTTCCCCTTGAGCTCTTTCTTCTGCGGGGTCCCGCTGCTGCGCTTCTTCGGCGGCATGTCGACGGTGTCGCGAGGAAGAGCGCGTTCACTCACAGCACAGCGAGCGATCACAAGCGGCGGGCTGGTGCTGGTGTTGATGTTGCTGTTGTGGTTCGTGGTTCGATGTCGGAGCCTGAGATCGCTTGTTTGTGTTCGCAACTCTCCACTATTTCCTCAACTACCCAAAACGCGGGAAAATTGATCGACGCAACATCCGCTACTATAGCGTCACGTCCGGTTTTTGCGCGTAGTCAACAGCAACTTTTTAATGTTACAGTGATTTTAAAACTTATTTTTTTCTGTATGAACAATGTATTCAGATTAGTGGATGGTAAAAACATATATAGTTTAAAATGCAAGTGAAACATACACGTGAACTGTTTCAAAGACTTTCTACTCAATTCTAAACTCGCCAGACGGCATTGTAGGTCTACTTTTAAAATGAAAATCGCTATGCATTTATAACGATTTGGATTAATATTGTTATCAGAACACTTAATATGCGCCTCACATGTGAAGGAAACATGTTTAAATGTTCATGACATGAGACAATAAAACACGTTTTTGACATTTACAACAAATTATTTCTAATATTATACAATACCATCTATCTATCTAAAATAAAAGTGGAGAAGAACGTCAGCACATAAGACGATAACACTTTATGTAATATTCTATTCACATTAAGTGATTATCCCTTATAGAAGTAAATGATATTTTGCATGACATGGTAGACCAGTAAGATTAAACAAGTAAGCTTTACAAAAATATAACAATGTGCAACATGTCATATTTGAATGTCTATTTTTTTTTTATTCCCTCTCATGTTTTTTTTTTTTTTGTCATTTTAAATATTGATATAATATTGGTCATATTTTTTTCCTCATGAAAATCTCACAGTTTGTCCTAATTGCACTGACTGCATGTCGAATCAGCTTGAATAAGCCGTTTTTTTCCTACAGGATCATTATCTGTAAGCCATAATCATAAAAATTTCAAGAAATAAAGGCTTGAAATATTTCACTCTGTGTAATGAATCTATATAATATATGGGTTTCACTTTCTGAAATGAGTGACAAAAAATATTGACCTTTGTCATGATATTCTAATTTTTTGAGATGTACCTGTATGTATATCCATTTTAGTGTTTTATTCCATTTGGGAACCTTTCTTTTGTTTCTCCATAGGTTTATTTATAACAGCAGTTCACCCCATGAATTGTGCGTTATTCATTAAAGAATGACTTGAAAATATAACCACCATTTAAAAAGAAACACCAAAATGCTATAAACAGGAGCAAAGGCACTAACGTGCTTTGTCTGGAGTGAGAGATGTAACAAATACAATTGCCAATATCAAAACTCTGCCCACATACCAAGACGCTGTGAAGCATCCTCACACAGTCTCAGTGGAACAACCATCATGAATACGTCACATATTTAACTCAGGGAGTGACAGTCCAAATGTATGACTACTATGCAGCAATACAGAAAATAAACCTATGCACTGAATAATGTGTCATAAATCAATTTCAATTGTAGTCAGACAATATTTGGCACACACATCTCCAGATCTTTTCTTCTTTTTCTTGTACATTAAGGATACTCATATTGTGCCATGAATGTGTCATTGATACATGGAAACAAGTCAAAGCTTGCAGGTACAGACCATGAGACTTGGCCATGGACACAGACATTATTCTTTGATCTAATGGCAAACACAGACTTACGGTGCTTGTAACAATATCCTGAAGGAAGATGAAAACCCTTGCATTATCCAGCATTATCCTCTGAAACTACAGAAAATGACCTTAACAATGACTTACGACTTTGGGTTGAGAGGTTACTTCAGGCTTTAGGAAGCAATGTTGAAAATACAGTATATGAAAGGGAGTATGTGAGTGATAAGGAAAATAAAAAAGAGGGAGAGAACCACCTGTTATAATTCCCAGGGTAAGCATATAACCAATGAGAGAGACCTCTCCAAATCTTAAAGTCCACTGTTTTTTTTTTTTTTTTGGGCCAGGAGCCTTTAAACGTCCTGCTCACAGGAGCATGGTGAACGGTTTATCCAGGAACTTGCGGAACTCGGCCAGCCACTGTGCACCAACAGCGCCATCTACCACCCGGTGATCACAGCTCAGAGTCACAGACATCATGCTTGCCACATCAAACCTACGAGACACACAGAAAACACACGCACTGACTGGAGGAACTGTTTTAAAAGCGCCATGTATATTAGTAGGGCTGATGGCAAATTAATGTCTCTCTATTTCCTTTGCTCACCCTTTTTCGTTGTCTGCAGGCAGCAGTCTCTTTTCTGAGCCACCCACAGCCAGAATGCAGGCTTGAGGAGGGTTAATGATAGCTGAAAAATGCTTGATGCCATACATGCCCAGATTGGAAATAGTGAATGTATATTTATTATGTCTATATAAATACACACACATACATGTATATTTTAAGAAATTTAAGAAAATATGTTATGTTTATATATTAAATATTTATCTGTAATATAAATAATATAAATATATACATGTAAATATTTTCCAAATATATACTGTATGTGTGTGTATATATATACACGAAGAGTTTATTTGCAAAAACAGATAACTCA